CAGCATTATAACCGTTGGCTTTTGATTGGTATTCCATTCTCGTACAATTGTATTGAAATTTTGTGTGGCACCGATTACGAAGGAAAAATAGTATCGTCATCAGTGCTGACAAATAAAGTCTGATTGCCTCTGTTCCATGTCATTTTAATCTTATTTGCTAGTTTCCTACAAAATAAAATATTAGCAGAGAGTACTGATCGCTTTGTAACTATTGCCAGTTCATTTGATTATTTAATACGGTCATGCCGATGACAATTTACTAATTTTTAATACAAAAATTTGCGATATTCATAAGAAACAGTATTATATAACACAAGGATCGATATTTCCAACAATTTATATAATGAGTCGAATATTAAATAATGAAAATTATTGTCCAAATCAAATATTAGCTAAATGTTGAACATGTGTATAAATTTATATATTTCAAATTAGCGGTTTTTCCGACCACGGATTTATTATATAAATGATTAAGTAACGATAGACTGTATATTCGCTTAAAAAAAGACAAAAACGGCACTTAACTGAATAATCGATATTCATTAAAAGTGTAATAATCTAGTATAGAAATCTAATATAATTGTAGGTATATTCTCTTATATTCTACTAAATTTCAACGATTTCTGTGCTGCGCTTAAATTTTCTTCGTGAAATTAATGAAAGTAGAGGTTATGAATTCAATATGTTTTCAAGAAAATATTTGCATTTCTCGAGACTGTAGATTGATTGTTTTTCAATTGATAATTAATCCTTTATCTTTTATTAATCTGATAAATTATCCTGAAATTTTCTTTATGTATAACATGTAATCAATTTAATATCTGTTATCACACTCGTCAATGAAGAGTTTCGAAAATGTCTCCTAAAATTTGATGTAACGAATAACGATACAAGATTGGATGTATCCATGCTGCGTTTTAAAGACTCGCGTAGATCGACGTTAGGTACATTTACGAACAGTCTTCTACTCAGCCCGTGCTATTTCGTGGCCTGTGATTATGTGATTTACTCGACTGGATTAAACCGTGACCCGGTACTCGACCGTTTTGGAGGGCTGTCATAACTAGTGCGTTGCTTTACGCCTGGAAAATGTGGAATATTCGCGAGGGGGTAATCACTAGCTGAAATATTGTCCCACAGATTACACGATTTCATATGATTTCATCTGATTACAAATAATTTTTTTCACTATGAAGTAATTTGATAAAATACGATTTTATTTAACATTATACCATGATTTCTCGTGGTTGCATACTCGCGTAAAGGAGGCTCGCGCATGGCTTAGCGCCGAGACACTACCGTGTCTCCAGATGTAATTATCGGATTATACATAGAGATTTTATATGAATTTTATAATGATTTCAAGGATTCTGTCCCACGATTACATTAAGTGGTTACCCCCTCGATGTGGAATATTCGTATACGACGTCTCGCATTCAACTCGCGTCGTTCTCCTCCTAATCTCGATCTCCGCTCGCGTCTCGTGTTCGCCGGAACTCTGCCGTCGAAATGCTCCCCTCGCGCGAGTAAACAAAGCGACGACGACGACGATCCAGTTTTCGCCGGTTGCACGCCAAGTCCATTTAGGTGAACTCGTTTATGCGCGAGCGACGAAACGGGAGGGTAAATCGATCGGCGTGTTTTCTCGACGGTGGTTTGATAATAGGAGTTCTGATGGATTTTTTTTTTATTTCGAAGGAATACTGTCAAAAGCAAAATCATCCTGAAAAGTTTTTAACGATAAACGGAACGTTTGGTGTATCGCGTTTCCTTTTGCGAATGGCATCTACTTGGCCAAACAAGACGAACCGCGGTACGGAACATATTGAGCGTTCAATAGCGATCAAACTGAAAACAGTAGAGCTTGTGAATAATGTGTGCACACAACATATATAATGCATACATGTGAAAATGACATAATAACGAAATTGTAATCGTGAATAAATGAAGGCGTATACAACGACGTCAACAATATATGTGAATTTCAGTACAATATTCAACTATTCTAATGAAAATTATTTTATTCAAAATCACGTGCATGTTTTTAGATTTATAGCAAGGGGGTGTTGTTTGGATGAAATAAAACACAAATCCCCGTTTGTAATATTTTATTTAGTTTAAATTATAACTTTAAGTAAGACAACCTAGGAATAAAAACCTGTCGTATTTTTACACGAAAAAATATGAATTATAAAATATTGTTTTATATGAATATTATTTAATACATTTTCTTTCTTTTTTAATAAGTATTCTTTACAAACCTGTAATATATAATTCTATTGATAACTCACTATAAAAAATTGTTATATTAATTAAAATCTTATTTTTTTAGAAATACTGCTATAATAAGCTACCTACTGTGCTTATTCTATTTAATATTTGTTTGGTTCCTACTTATCTACTTTTTTCAGAAAATTGTAATTAAATCCATATCCGTAATGTTCTCAAATAAATCAGAACAACATATTGTTAATAATAGTAATTTTAATTGAGGTATAAAACATCCCAGGTGATCGTTTATTTAAAAAAGTCAGAGGACTACTCTCGGATTAATGAAATGTGGTAGTTTATTGTACATTTAACGTATTCGAAAAAGGAATAGGCAGAGTTGAAAATTTTAGCAGTGTAAATTTGTATATTTCTAATATACAACACTAAAATCTCTTAGTTATAAAAAATAATTATAAAGCCATGTGGAACTCGCGAGTAACGGCTAATCAATCGAAGAAAAAAATGTACCACTCTTCTGTTTGAATTAAATAATTATACAATGACAGGTGTCTTATGCAAGTAGCCTTGGCTTTTTTGCTGATTTTTATAACAGATAATCAAAGCCTCAAATATCATTAATCATTGTTCCTTATTATTCGAAGTTGCCATTCGGAATCGATATTGTTCAGCAATCGCGGGCTAAACGGCTGTTGGAAATTTGATAACGAAATACCCTTCCATCGCAGCTAGTAGGGTCCCTTTTTATCGACGTCTGTTACTTAATAGCTCGCTAATCCTTTGCATAAAGAACTTCAATCCGGCTTTGCCTCGCTCTTCGAAATTATAGCACGCTTTTAATTACTATGACTAATTGTCACTGTTTTCTTTCTGTTGCAGGTAAGAGTGGTGAAAGAGATACATAAAGCGGGCTGCAACGTGACCTTGACGAGTAGGTAATATAGATCTTCTAATTATCAGCTAACAATCTAATTTTTTTTTCAAAAATATACTATGTAGAATATTTCATATTTGGAATATATATATAAGGATATATAGATTTTCTTTACAGCTCGTACATAAGTTTTTCCTAAAACATAAATCATAGAACAATTGCCTTTTTATCGAAATGTTTTAACATAACTTTTTTAAACGTATTTTTTTATTACAAATGGACAAAATTACAAATATTATTTTTTATTCTACTTTATAAGTACCAATTTTGTGATCAAAATAAAATAGGACGTATATCAACGATACGCCGAATTATATTTTTGGATTATATTGTATATTCATTGTCTGGCCATCTTTTTTAAACAATAATTTGTTAAATTTGTCGCATTACCGACAGAGTTAGAGGGCGATTTCGCCTTCGCTGTCTGTACTTTCGATGGCGCCACCAAATCCTACCGGGCAAATTGTTTGTCAGTTATCGACCTTCGTACAGCCTTCTCGTCTTCCGGCGCGCGCGCGCCCGCGTGTCACGAAATAATAAGGCCGATACAAATCTCTCGATTGCATGCGAAGGACTAATTAAATCGGTGCTCGAAAACCGCGACACCGTAATTCATGAGAAAGGAACTATATTCCATGCATGTGCAGAAAATTTTGCGCACGCATCGTTACTTCGAAATAATACTTCAAGAGTTTCTTGAAGTATCATTTCAAAGAATTTTTTAATGTATTTTTATTATTCTTGCATTTTCATCAGGAAATATTTACTTGTGATGTAAAATAACTCCTTAAAAGTATTATACGTATTAGAGAAAAACATGAGTTTAAAATATAGATGAATCACAAAGTATAATTTTAAAATCGATAAATTAGGAATGTGTTAGGAATATATTATCACGTATAAAGGAATAAGTATTGCTCTCTTTTATCCTGTTATATGAATGAACCGCAAATGTCATACATATACCTTCGAGTGAATGGAACTAGAAACCAAATCGAATCGTAGCTGAAAACTTACACTCTAGAGAAAGTATAGAATTGGATATTGGATAAGATTACTTCCTGAGCACCAAGAGAGTGCGTATAGCAAATGGACGTAAGTGATAATGAGACGATGTGTATAATAATATAATAAAAAAATCCAAATCGTTCGTTCAATCTGTTCATTCGCCATCTTTAAATTCTCTCAATTAGCTTTATCTATTTTTCGTCAAAAAATGCGAAATTTCAATAATTTTTAGTCGCGACGAGAAGATTTTGTACGTTTAAATTTCATGTTAAACTGCGCAGGTTTTCCATCCAGCCCTCGCGCCGTTATACATCGGGAGAATTAAACGTATTAAATTATTAATATCCTTCAGCGTGGGGGGTGCAAGAGGGTTGATGCCCCATCCAATCCGGGAGGCGAATTGGCCCCCCCTAGGCGGAACGTGGTCGTCCCCCTTCCGCACTGACAATGAGCGCCCTGTCTCCGCGTCGGGTTCACCCGACCGACGAGAGACGGCATGTGACGCTCAGCTGTACGTTAAATCCCAAAATTATTGCGGTTCGATGTACTCACGGAGCGTGCGCGTGCTTAAGATGATCGTGCTCGCACGGTCGCTGTCATATAAAGCGCAAAGCGACAAACCGGGGGCCGGACGATGAGCTTGACCTACGTGACACTAACGAACACGAGGAGATGAGATGGTATCTTGAAACATAGACGGGAGATTGTCAGTCGCAGGGATCTACGAAATTATCAATCCGTAGCGAAACGAAGGATCGAATTAGCGCGAGAAATACGTATTTTCACGACGACTCATGTCTACTGTACACCGAATGCGATGAGTGATGAGCGACGAGCGATATCCAATGAGAGCTCAGTTTTACATCATCATGTGAGAAAAAGCAGAGCTTTCATTGAATATCGCTCGACGCTCATCGCTCATCGCGTTCAGTGTGCAGTAAGCATCAGTGTCTGGACTAGAGACTTTCTAATAAAAGTCTGGATATGAGAAAATCACTTTTGATTGGTCCGCCATGTTTCAACAATTCCTGAGAGAAAGAGAGAGAAAAATAAATAAGTAAAGGATAGAATAGAATGAGAAAAAAAATAATAAATATATATCCTTCTCTCGCAGATTTTTGTTAAATTATTATTCTGCAGACAAAGCTGTGGCTCGTATCTAGATTCTTGTTGAACGATCTCTAGTTTAGACCAATTACTGCGCGATGAAGTGAAATAATAAAAATTAGGTTCGTTTAAAAACGAGATACGAGATTAGCTATAAGATTTTTCAGCTTTAGTTCTTGCACTTTAATGATATACATATATATATCTATATATTCAATAATTAATCTTTTCGATTAATTTTACGTTTCGATAATAAATTTCTCTATGATCAGAAGAATATTCATCAATTGACGACATTGTAGCTTTTAATGCCTTAGAAGGTAATCGACAGTTGCATTTAATATTTACGAAACTTCCATTACTTATTTATTATCCACCTAGGCAATGAACGGTTCTAGTTCTACAACTTTTTCCTTCTATATTGCGAAGTTAACTTCACCGAGGCATTCTCTCACCCCAAGTCATGACATCAATATTACGCGATGAATTTCTGGTTTACGGGCCACGCATGTCGCGGCTCGTCATGGTATTTGCCGTTAAAAATAGCCTTCGCGTACCATATGGGTCGGTAAAAGTGCATCGGTTCACATGGTACCCGTGTCCTCCTTTCGTACACTTTGCAGTAGGCGTTTCTTTAAAAAGAGAGAGAGAGAGAGAGAGAAAGGAAAGAAAAAATTACAAGTGCCCTTCTGAAATCACATATCCGATTCTGGCCTCTCTAAAACGATTAAAAGCTGTACGTTCCGCTAAACATGAGGATTGTTGTTAATCTTACATCAGATTATCTTAATATTACGATTTGTTGATTCAAGGTAATTACTCAAGCAACACACGCGTCGGTGTAAAATATCGTAACCATTTTCAATCGCGACCGGCGCGGCGCGACGCATGATTGACTCGCGAATACGTTTCTCGCGACGCGAGGGTGAATATATTCGCGCGAAAAATCGGCGTCGGCTGGCGCGTTTACAAGAGGGGAGGCCTTAAAAACGTCAAGCCTCGAAACGTTCTCCGCGCACAGGTTCGACACAGTTGCGCCAGCGACTCATTACGCAACGCGCCGCGCTTTCACGTTGTCATTCATTACGCGCCGCGCCAGCTCTCCGCAGATGCATACACGCGTGACTGCATACGAGAAGAACGTGCCCACACATACACGCGCGGAACAGTCGATATTAATAACACGCTCGCCAATGTAGAAGCCGTGGACATGAGTAGCGAAAACCCATTGACCGTGACCCTCTCTGTTTCTAGTTTAAATGTAAACCGTCGCAAAACTACGGATTCGTCGAATGCGTCGTTTTCTTATTTTTAACGTAATTCTTGCGATGCGTCGAAACTGTTTTGCGTGGAAACTATTTAATATTAAGATTATAACTTGACGTCTTTCCTCCGTAAAGTCACAATATTTTCGTGCATTATCCAGCGTAGCTACGACCGTTAGACCCGATCGCCAGACAGTCTCGAATGCGATTGCACTCGGCCGCAAATTCCAGTTGTGCATAAATTAACGAAACGGAAGCCATGCGACGTTTGAGAATTCCGCGGGCATTATAATGCATACACGTGGCGTAAATAATCCAACGAAATCGCATTGTCACGCGGGCCGTATCCGCTTGGCGGCAAGGAATGTCGCTCGACCGCAGTCGTAGTGTCTGATAAATGATCACACCCGCGGAATATTAAGACTCTCCAGCCACGTACAGCGATACGAGCGACGCGAACAAATGTTCTCGGTCGCGTAACTACAAGAAAGAAAACGAGCGTGGTTTTCACACAGACAAATCGGCTGCTCGTGTGATCAAACGTGTATAACTTGTGTAACGTGTGTTGCTGATCTATTCGTCATAATTTCTGCGCTTCATGCATTTCCTTAAACATGCAAATTAATTCGTCACGCAAACTTCTTAAAGCCATAATTTAATAAACTCTGCCTCATCGGGATATCGCCTCCTCACCACCTTCTCTTGTTGAACTTTCATCGTGATGTAATAAAATCTAATGAGGAAATGTCATCTGAACTTTCCGATCAATTATTTCTATCAGGAACTTTTTTGAATTTCGATTACTCGAGAGGTGAGAGAAGAAATGAAAATAAATGGAGCGAATAAGAGTCTGATCAAGAAAGAAACTCATTCTATTCATCTTTGTACATAATTGAATGAGCTGAAGCGTCTTATCGATGTACGAAGCGTTGCGAACAGCGTAACATCAAAGGTACGCTTGCGAATTTTCCGGATGAAGAATCGCCCCTTCGCGATAATTTCCCAGCGAATCATTTCTCAAACGCGTCGCAGAGAGAAAGAACGAGATGTGATTATTTCAAAGAAAACATACGCGACGCGGCAATTTAAATAGCAAAATTAATGCTTTGCCGATTAAAATATATTTTTCTGATCTTTTCTGAGAAAGTATGTCTCCAATATTTAATTCTTCCGATATGATCAGGTTTTTATTAATAAATGATCTTGGCAAAATATCTTGTCATAATTAACGATACTTCTGCAATCCTATTTGAAATGTTGTCTATAGATATTTGAAATAGTCGTTCACTCTTTTAAATGTAGTCATTATGAATGTTATTATTTTCAAGTGTGAGCATATGTAACTATTTGTATCATATGTCATATCCGAATCGCGTCAATATACATAATCTCATGCACTTATGTTAGTAATTAATAAACTAAACTTGAGTCGAATTTAATTAATGTTTTCTTGGGTTATAAATTGCTTAACTTCAGTGTTTTAGTTAAATTAACGACATGTTGAGTAAGAACAGTGACGACTTATAAAAATGATCAAAAATAATTCAAACCGAATATAATTTGATATTATAAATTTAACAGAGATTATATTAATATCATCAATAATTATGATATTCTCTCAGTGACCATAAAGAAGTGGAGATAAATAGGGAATTAAAAGTATTTTCGCGCATTTTTTTCAAACAGTGCACAGTCGAGATACAGTCAGTGCACAATTTCTGTATGAAGATTAGCCTTCAAGTCCCAGAGGTGGCGCGCCCAAGAGCTTTCCGGTTGAAAGATCACCCGTCCGTGATAATTTTCCGGGACCGGTCCGTTCTGAGAGACGAAGAGAGAAAGAGAGAGGTGTCCGCACGGTATGCGGTAGAAGCGAAGAGAAGAGAAGAGAAGAGAAGCGATGAGAGAGAAGTGAGGAGAAAAGACCGGTCGAGGGCAGCCGCACCACGTTGAGCCAAGGCACGTCCGAGCGAACAGGAATCGCCAGTGCGGCGATCGCTCGGAGCGTCTCCTTGGCTTCGGTCAGTGCCTGGCTATAGCCAACTTTTCTTCACCTTGCGGGCGAACGACCGTTACGTTTTTTCGTTCCAAGGCTGAACGTATCCTTTCGTCGGATGCCTCTTTCTCCCTTCTCGACGCACCGCATCGAGAGACGTGCAATTCCCTGGAAGCAGCATTCCCTACGGGAAATATTCACGCAGGAGTTTCCCGGAGGGAACTTTTACGAACATTTAAGGAAAATTAGAGAAAGACTCGAAACGATGCGATTTATGATTATTATTTCGATCGGTGTCGGCAGATTTAGAAGAAATTGCAATCTCGCATCTGCTAACGATAAATTATATTTCTTTAATAAACAATATTTAAAAGATATACAGAACATCTCTCTGAAGTCAAACTAATCGACTGCACTTTTCATAAATTTGTTTATTCTACTCCCTCTTATAATTAATTTATAATTTTATTAATATTCTCTATTATTTATTTCATGAAGTTAATCAGTTTGATTTCTGAGAGCTTTATATAATGATAGGTATTACTTATATTTATTTTTCTATTAAGACTCCTGAATAATCACATAGCCATATTGAATCGTGACGTCAGAAATGAGAAATGACACATTAATTTTTGTCCATTTTTACAAATGTTTTAAAGCGATCTCATCATTTTGTTTTATCCAAATTGTCTTTATTTACAAATGGTACGTAATAAAAATTAAAGTGTCATTTCTCGCTTCTAACGTCACAATTCAATGCTGTATTGATTTCTCTGCAGGAGTCTTAAATTTATTTTTATACACGAAGTACCGCGCTTGACTTTTATTTGCCCTTTTCTTTTTGATTATTTTGAGTTTATTAATAATAAAAGTCTGTATTAATATGTATTGATAACTATTACACGAAAAAAATATTATATTCTTCGATATTTGCAAAATTCAAATCAAATTATGTCTTATTCCGTGTTCCTTTTTTTTAGCTTCCTCATTATCTTGTTCGTGAAAATTCTTTAAGGAAATACTTATCCAGGAAAATAATCCTATTAAAAATTTTAGGCAAATTAGGAATTGATTCTTAAGAATTAAGACATTTCGCAAAAAGTTTCTTCTATAATAGCTTTTTATAGGAATTTCTTAATTAGTATTCATGGTGTTGCATCAGATTTCGCGACAAAAATTGTAAATAGGTTCGTCTTTCCTCACTATTGATTCGTCTTTTGAGGCTGCCACCCACGCATCCAACGTAGAGCGATCGGCCAGTCGATATCACCTTTGCCGGTCTGATTTATCGAGGAAACAAGGTTGAGGTGTCACGGTTGAAAGAAACATAACCGTAGAAAGAGATGTTGGGGTCACGGAAACATACATTTTAGTAGGTTGACATGCAATAGGTTTGCATAAGATTTTATGACTGACGGAATCGTATTCGATTACTTTGTCGTTTATGTTGCCGCATTAAAATTCTTTTATAATGTTGCTACGAGTAAAACTTTCACATGATAGGTAATATTATATTATATTTAAAAAATATAAGTTCGCGTTAATATGAAAATCTATTTACGTAA